TTTTAAATGGCTGAATCAGAGTAAGTTCTAAAATGGATCTATCCACACAAAACTTAAGGCTGAGTCAGCATTGCATTATATTGCATGAACAGTATCCACAGAAACATCTAATGGCAATCCATTACATAACTTCCCACTTAGCCTTATGAAACATCATGTCTTCAGTAGGCTTTCCAAGAGTAGAGTGAATTCAAAGAAAACACTGTGTAGAAAGGAAGGCAAATAGTGAAAATCAGAAGAGTAAATGAGTATTCTTAAGATTGCCTTTCAAGTAACTTCTTCCAATGGTTTCTATTATGGCTGTTAAAAATAAAATGCATCTGATCCCTTATATATAAAGTTACCTGCTAATTAAATGGGAAAAACTATTTGAAAACCTATGTTGGAGAAAGTTTCTGACCACCAGCAACTCCCAAATAAACACACCAAACCTTATATTAACAACCAATGCTCTACCAATAGCTTAGACTTGTTACTAGCTAACTCTTACAGTTAACCTATATTTCTTATCTTTGCCACGTGGCTCATGTCTTGTTACCTCATTTTCTACACATCCTATTTCCCCTGCATCTGCTGGTGTCTCCTCTCATTCTGTCCTTCTTCATCCCATCATCATTAGTTTTGTTGTCTCACCTATACTTCCTGTCAGGCTACTGGCCAGTCAGTTCTTTATTAACCAATGAGAGTAATACATATTCACAGTGCACAGAATGATTATTCCACAACATCTCTTCCTTTTTGTCTAATTATAAAGAAAGGTTTTAACCTTGACTACTATAATAAAACTATATATAACAAAACAGTTATTAAGTAAGAATTATAGTTACAATATCCAGTCCATTCGTATTTGGCAAATTTAGAGAAAATTCTCTATTATTTATCTTGTCTTTGTGAGTCTAAAATTTTATACCTAAGTTACTTTTCATTGTAACTAAGAAAACTATAAATTTAACTATTTCATCTTTAACTCTACCAAATAAATTTAAGTACTTAGTTTTTAACTCCATCAAATATCCCAGAAGGGTGAAGTATTATGTAATGACAGGAACATCTGACTGCCTGGAGAGTTACTCTAGGTTCCTCTGCAATAATGGGGCATCCATTTTGGCCTACAGTCCTAGGTCATCTGACAGATCTTTCTGTGAACCAGAAATTTTGAACGACTATCCTACCTTGCTTTTGGAAATGTTTGGCAGTCACTTTCTTTTATGTCCTGCTTGTCCAAACTGGATGGCACTCTGTCAAGCAGTCAAGATAAAGGCAATTTCTTAGCCAGTGGCTAACTTTTATCACAAATAAATTAAACTCCATATGGAGTTTCTTTGATACCCATCTTCTTCTATTTAGTATATTGGTGTTGCCAGGAACAGACGTGTCTCACTGTCATGAAAAGCCTTAGGTTATTAAACATATTAAATGCCATAATCTGTAGGTTTTCAAAATGTTTGAAGACCTTTATCTATCTAAATATATCTGTTTATAACCTGGAAAACACTCCTAACATGACTATAAGTTTGACTATTATAGATGACTATTAATCTGTATTTCTTAATTATATATTATAATTTGTGTGATAAATATGTTGATCCAAGAGGGAATGCAATAGTATTAGAAACATGGAGAAAAAGATGCAGATTCTGCATGATGAAGGGGGAAAGCAGGAAAAGTTAGCAGCAAACGGTGGTGCTAACAGTAAGGTTAGGGGCAGAGATCAGATTTTCTGTAAGAACACGAGAAGCAGAAAACATTTTTTTTTTTTTTTTTTGGATTTTTGAGACAAGGTTTCTCCATAGATTTTTGGTTCCTATCAGAAAAGATTTTTGTGTATATAAACCCGATTCCTAGGATTTTTTCTGAATACTCTCTATGGGACCCCATGGACTCACCAGAGGTTCAACCCTTTCCTGGTGTTCAAAGTCTGAGCTAGACTTCAGGGGAGGTGTTAGTTACAGCTCTAGTCTCAGTGCTGTGGGCATGTGACCTGGCCAGCATGATAGCCTTGCATCTTTTTCAACCTAAGTTTCCTTCTGCCTGTGTCCACATGCTAATGATCAGATCTTGGGTCCCTCTGCCATGGGATTCTTGTCTTTTCTTTGTCTATAAGTCTGGAAAATTTATTATTCTCAAACCTTCCTATTTCTTAAAACAATTTTTTATCTGGATTATAAAGCATAGCAGCTTTGATTTGAGTGTTTGGGTTCCCATAAAACTCTTAAACTGGAAATTTATTTCTATGGTCAGGTATGGTGGGAGTGATTGAATCTGAGGTGAGGTTTTTTTTGGGAAATAATAGGGTTTGCGCTCCTGTGGAAAAACATTCAAAAAGCTGCTTTGTCCCTTCCACTATTACGAAAATGCTGGAAAAGTTCCCACCTATAAACTATGATATCAGTCCTGAATCTATCATTTTGGAAAACAACTTTAGAATTGACTCGAGTCTTAAACTTGGACTTCTTAACAGAAATCGTAAGACGTATGCTTGTGTTGTCTTGTACAAGCTAATAGTGCTAAGACGGTAAGCAAATCTTGGAGTCCCCTGGTATTCCTCTTGATAATATACATCACATTAAAATCAGGGCTCCTGTGGTCATAAAGCCCATCGTTCAGAAGAAGACATATCTTCTGACCATGGAAACAGAGACCTGGATTTCATGTTCAGTTTTCTTAATTACTAAGAGTCTGACCTTGGATACATACCTCATGACGTCTACAAGGTATGGTTTTCTTATTTGTCAAGGATGGTGGTGGCTCATGCTCACAGTGTTATTTAAGAGGTGTGCTGACCACACAGAAACCCGTTAGCACAGTTAGCCCTTAATTAGTCACGGCTATTGCTATCATAATATGATAAGTCCTATATGGACTTGCACTTGTCTCTGTACTTCCAATGTTTGCTTTGTGGTAGTTTAGCTCACTCCTCTGTTCAGTTCTTCAACTGTTGTATTCAAGCATGAGTTTAAGTGTGTGCTTCTCTTATTGGGTTCTGTCCTGGTATAGTGATTGATTTATATTCATAGGATCACAAATACAGAATCCAAGAAAAAAGAGAAGCAATACTTCATTTTCTCTTATTATATAAATGGAAAGAACAGTAGGTCCTGTCTCTTAGGGTTGTTCTGAAGTTCAAATTGACACTATTGTGTGCTGGATTATACTTGGAGCAGCACAATTCTGGATTATGTATCCTGTATCATTGTTTTGATGGGAGAAATCTTATGGCATTTATTTCATTGGTGTTGGTTATGTATTCAACTCTAATTGGAAAGTTGGAATTTGCAAGGTGGCCTTGCAGGAAGGGGCCTGAAGGACAGTTATAACAAATCTCTTAACTACTTTAATACAAAAATAACTGACAGAGAAAGGCACAGGGTTGACATTCAGTGTTGAGATGACCATGTGTTCTGCACTCAAAGGAAGAGTCAGTGCAGGCTTGTCAAACAGCTAATTGCACCAGCAAACAAAGGACATAGTTTAAGGCATGAGACTTTGAAAAGGATGCCCGTCTCTCATTTATCTTTTCAGCTGGGTCTGTGAACATGGGCAATAATGCCACAATCAACGATGTCATCTTTGAATAGGGAGGAACAGAAACTCATACAGGGCTTGCACCAGGGAGATTCTGCTCACAGATGAGCAATTCATTAGTCATTCAGAACTGGAAGCTGTTGCCAAACTTTGCACTGCATGCAGAAAACAATGAAATAATAGAAAACCAAAGGAGAATAGAATTAAGGCAGGGATGGGAATGCTGCATTGGTATACTGTCAAGTTATGGTTGAACCTGAATATCCACACAGTATTTTTCCAAGCTATGACATTTAAACTCATACTTTATAGAGTTTATAAATGGCACTCCCTGTCTCCCATTTGAAAATTGCTAAATCTAAGTGCTTAAAATACTTCCTTCTTGCTTCTCTCTTCCACACATTTTTCTTGTTTGAATCATTTTCATGATTTATTATAGCAAGTTATGAAAAATGAAATTTCTTGAAGATTAAATAAGCAAACTTCTGTGAAGTATCTGTTTCAAGGTAGCTATTACTTCCAATCTTACTTTATTAATAAGTTTGCAAATAGCTGCTCTACTTTATCTCCTGCTATTTCTCTCCACATAACTGGCATTCATAGAGCATTCATTCTTCATTACTCTGTACAAAACTATACTCTCATCTCCTCTAGCTCACATATATGGGAGGCTGGGAAGTGGGCTCCGATGGCATCCCTGTCCTGATTGCCTAGAACCTATAAACATGCCACCTGCTTGAGGAAAGAGGATTTTGAAAATGTGATTAAATGAAAGGATTTTGAGATGAAGAAACTGTCCAGGATTATGTGACTGAGTTCAGTCAAATCACAAGCTTCCTTAAAAGCAGAGGATGCTTCTTTGTTGGGGCTGGTGGAAAAATATGGTATGGGAAAAAAGATGTAGTCTTGATGATGGTTCTGAAAATGGGGGCAAGGAGTTGTGGTGGATAGTTTTATGTCAATTTGACACAAGCTAGAGTCATTTAAGGGGAGAAAACCATTTTAATTGAGAAATTTCCTTCAGGTGAGCCTGTAGGGCATTTTCTTAATTAGCGATTCATAGGGAGGGCCTAGCCCATTGTGGGTGGGGTCATCCCTGGGCTGGTGGTTCTGAGTTCTATAAGAAAACAGAATGAGCTAGCCACGAGGAGCAAACCCATAAACATCACCCTCCACAGCCTCTGAGTCAGCTCCTGTGTCCAGGTTCCTGCCCTGTTTGAATTCCTTTTCTGATTTCTTTTGATGATGAGCAATGATCCAGAAGAGTAAGCAAAATAAACCCTTTCCTCCCCGAGTTGCTTTCGGTCATGAAGTTTCAGCAAAGCAATAGTAACTGTAACTAGGACAGGGCTTTCGAGCCAGGGAGGGGTGGAGCCTCTGGAACAGGAAAAACAGCGGATGGATTGCTCCTTAGAGCTTTCTGAAGGGAGGTCAGTCTCATCAGCACCTGGGTTTTCATCCACTAAGACTTCTCAGTTGCAGAATCATAAGGTAAGAGTCAGTAAGTTATGGTAATTTCCATGACAGCAGTAGGAACTAATAGGACAGGGTATGGAGTGAAATTGGGACATAGCACTGTGACTTGCTTGCCTTTGCACACAGTCTGCCTTGGTTCTACTCCTCTGGGGGCGGGAGGGTCAGCAGTTAGGAAGAGAGCTCCGTCAAGAAAAATAGATGGTGAGTCCAATCTTCTCTTTCTGTGACAATCTTAACCTTCCATTTGAATTTGTTATATTCACAGTAAAAATGAAGATAACCCCAGTGGCGGAGCATTCTATACACAAGGTATGGGGATTTGTATAGGTCTATCTAAATGAGTAATCTTGAAACATTTTCTCTCATTTTTTTTACAAGCTGTACATCTTACAGTTGATTCTGGGTCTTGTGATTTTTAAATGGTCATTGTTCCACCCTTCAATCATTTACCAGATTGAACTAATCCTATTTTGATGTCTCAATATGTAGATTTCTTTTCCAATTTTCAGAACGCTGCTCAGAAACCAGAATTTGAACATCTGCTTCGAAGTAATATGTCTTTCCTAGAATTCCTGGGATTTCAGGGTTAGAGAATTACACTAAGTATGGGAAAGGAAGGAAGACTTATACTTACATATATGTTTAAAAACCAACATGCTATACTTCATACAAAAGTTCTACAGAAGATAGGGTTAAGGGAAAGAGCCAGCATAGGGGCTTTGACACCCACATCCCAGGCCCTAGAACTTGCCTTTGTCATTATCGTGTAGCAGCAGAACATGTGACTTATCTTAGACCTTGTATATCATTTTAACATGAAGATCATGTTTAGACCCACACTTTTACACTAGTAATACTACTGTGAAAAACTCAACATTCTCAATACTGGCCTGCATTATCTACCCCCAGTGTCCGCCTTCTGTAAGTCTATTCCAATTCCAAATCTTTTGAGGAAAACTTCAAGATAAAAATAATGCTCACTAAACCAAATGCCACAGAAATGAGCCTATGATAGAAACTAGCTGAGAAGAGATGGAAATCTCTAGAATAAGAACCCTAGAATTATTGGAAGTCCCGATCACTGACTAGAAACAAATAAATCAGAGGTGTTAAAACTTTTAATAATAGTTTTATAGTCACATGAACCCATGTCTGGCTGAGAAGGACAGATGTTTCCTTCTTGTGGCCTCTGATAGTGTGAGCCGGAAGACATGAATCCATTCTATGTCCTCCAGCTTTCTCTGGGGACCTCGGAAATGAAGTTATCCAAGATTCTTTCAGAAATGGAACCGGGAGCTATTTGATGGCTAGGGCACAGAACATAAACTTTTTCTACCCAGAAGAATGATATATATATCCTATAGGTCAAAGACTAGAACAGGATTTCTTCTGCTTTCTCTTACAAATGGAATTTTAAAAAACAAAAATGAAGATTAATATGGTGATTATATGTTGTGTAATGCTAACCAATGTTTTAGTTACTTTACTATTGCTGTGAAGAGACACTGCGACAAAGGCTGCTTATAAAAGAAAGCATTTAGCTAGGGTTTTGCTCACAGTTTCAGAGGGTAAGTCCTTGATCATCATAATGGGACACACAGCAGCAGAAAGTCATGGCGCTGGAACAGCAGCATGCTGTTTACATTTTGAGGCAACCAAGAAGCAGAGAGAAGAGCAAAACTGTGCCCGATCTGGCCTTTTGAAACCTCAACGTCCAGTTCAGGGATATACCTCCTCCAAGGCCACATCCCCTCAGCCTTCCAAAGCAGTTCCACCAAGCGGGAACAAAGCATTTAAATATATAAGCCTGAGGGTCATTCTCATCATTGTAACTATCACAATATAATTAATTAATAAGCTGATAACTGCTCGTATTGTGTCTTAGATGCTTATTTAAAGGAAATTTGATGCTAGTATCCCTTCTTTCTGTATTTCTGAGTCCCTCCCCATCCAGATAGCTATCCTGTAGTTAATAAAGTCACAGGATACCCAGGAAGGAAAATGAGCACAGGTTTGACTGGATCTAGCAGGAGAAACTGCAAGTGGTTTGGAAGTAGAGAGTGGCTTGAGAAGATGCCAGAGTTTTCCAGGTATGCTAAAGCAGGATTCATGCAGATTCCAAGTGGCCAATGCATTGGGCAGGTGACACAGCCAATTGTCTAGTCTCCATGTCTTCTTCTTTTCCAGTTTTTAAAGACTGTTCTGGTAGTGTCCAGAGACCGGTAGATTTTGATGCTTGATCTAAGACTCAGCTTTGATTAATCTAAGTATTTTTCATGACTATATTAAGAAATGAGCATGTAATGTAATTTAAATTAATCTGGTTCTACCTTTGACGAAGAAAAGACACAGTCCATGTGGTTGTCTCGTACAAGGCAGTTCATCCGCACCGAGGTGAAACAGAGTGGACTGCGTGGACAACACACTCTGGTTTTCACCTTTGGGTCCCTGGATAAACATACTCTGCACTTCATACTATCTTTGGATCCCTAGCTACTAGGACCAATAACCCCCCTTTCTTCAATCTCTGAACTGATTTCTGTCAAATAGATACATAGAATTCAATTCACACAGTATTTCATGTTGACAGAAGGACAGTGTAAGTCACTCAGCAATTTTTAGGAGAAGATAAATAGGAGAGTTTGATCTTGGGGTACCATAGATAGACAAAATGCATAAAAGTACAGTGTTTGCAGACAAATATATCCCTAAAATTTATCCTGAGCTATTATTGCAATATTTGTCTTCTCTGAAACCAAGAGTACAAATAAAATAGCAAACGGACCCCCAAATTTAGTTGTAGAGATTAAATGAGCTGATACCCATACAAATCCTATTATGGGGTGGATGTTTAATAATAGTGGTCATTATTTTAATAGCAAATGAAAAAAAATATTTAAGATCTCGTGGTGAGAATTTCTGGGTGGAGACACCATACACACATCAGAGTGCTCTAAAATGAAACCCTTAGAGAACAATTGCAAATGAACCTGATGAGAAAGGAAGGGAGACGTCAATCAGAGCTGATGGGCTACACGGGGTGTTTCAAATGGGGGTTGAGAATGAGAAAAGTTAACATCTTGTGATTATGTCAAAAGACATAATAGGGATGAATTGTTGCAGGTACACATGGCACTAAGGGATGGACCACAGGAGGAAGCCAAAGAGTTTAAAAACGAAATTGAACCCTTGACAACATGAGATGCATCACACTGATAGAACATCCAAGGGGCTGCCTAGAAAACAGGATACCCGTTTTCAGGGTAAATGCTAGTTCTACAAAATTTCAAATCGTGCTTTGAAATATTACTGGTTACCTTGGCTTGAGTATTACTTTGCTATGGAAAATATAAAAAAGTAAAACATTAGATAAATCAGATTCATATCAGCTTCAATTCCTGGTAAACTCTGGGGAAAAGTCTTGCCACTACAAAAAGATAGCCCTTCTGTGGCCTGAAATACTAGCACCTTCTTATGTAAGCAAAATATTTAGTTCACCTCAGAAATATTCAACCACAGTTCCTAGTTTCAGAAAAATAGCTTTAAAAAACCTTGGCTCAACCAAAATTTCTGGGGAAAAAAAGGTTGTTAGTGATTTCACTTAAGGATAACATATTCTTCACACCCCAACACATGTGCCATCCACACGCATGTGCACAGGTGAGAGACCGAGAATTCCGTTCCAACTCAGACAGAAGCACCTTTAACCTGGGTTGTTATGTAAACGCAAACCCACTTGCGCGCATAGAGCGAATAGCGTCTACAGCCTAAGTTCTCCTGATTTGTCCAATGTGAAAGTCAGAAGAGGCCTTCATTACCAAGCTTTAGTTCCTGCCTGACCTAGTAAAGTTTCCTAAATAGGAGAATGACTGTGCTTTAGCAGGCCAGGGGAGAACATAGGCTCCCCACCATGAATGTCTTTGGAAAGAATTCACATTCAGGTGAACTGCTTTTAGAAAGTACTCCTAGTTACCTGCCCCCAGAGTGAAGTTCAAGGAAAAGGATTCAAATGTTTTCAGTAAAGATCTTCGGGCTGTGGTGTTTTCTACCACTGGAGAGTTGCTTGATTTGGAACATTATCACCTTCAGGAATGGGAAGCAGTCATTTCTTTACCTAGGCAGTCCTTTAATCTTGGAACAGGGGGCCCAGAAAGCTATTTTCTCAGAAGGCTCTCTTTGCTTTTAAAAACGTAATCAACTTGGTTCCAGTGGAGTGGGATATAAGGAAGGCCACCTCTTCTACTTCTCCAAAAGTAATTGAGCCAGCCCAATTAAATTGCCCAAGTGTTTCGATACCATGGTGATGAACATGTTATAAATGCTGTATGTAGCTGAACTGGGAGCATCCCTGGCAAGTATAATAGCTATGTAGTTAGCTCTGATAGGGTAGGGAGATACAAGCCAAGTGCTTTTCTACATTCCTTATTTATTGATAGTTATTTATGCTGACACTTTCAGCCATTTGTGGTATCTTTTTATTCTGGGTCTGTGGGTAGTGTGGTCAAAGATGACTTCTTTAAAGACATCATCTTGAATGCATGATGCATCACTGCGGATTCTGCACCATAACCAAGAAAACCCTTTCAACTTATAAACAACTGCAACCCAGAAATCGAGCAACCCTCAAATCCGTTCAGAAATAGAGCATGTGTAAACGAGATCTGTAAAACCACACGTGGCATAGAGGCCCGTGGTCTTTTGATCCTGGAAGAAAATCAAAGAATATTCACTAGTTGTTGAAATAAATCCAGAAAATAGCCATACCGAATGCTGAGTTTCACACAAACTTTTTTTTTTCCTGTTTCACTCATCAAGCTGTGGCAACTTTACTGAGAACGGCTTTGGCTAAAGTGCTGATTTCCAGGAAGAAACTCAGTCATGTTTTCAATGCATACAACTTAATATTTCTGAACTTCATGGTAAAAGTTTGAAAAAACGTTTGTTGTCTTTCATATCATCAGAGTTGCCTAGAATGGTAATGCAGTTACATGAATTCTTGTAGTAATCCTGTCAGCTGGGTAACAAACCAATCTTAAAGAGAACATTGAGAATCCAGATTTTGCTGATTACTATGAATGTCCACAGTCTGGAATACAAGCCAAATTTCAATTTAATCTCATCAGACGTCATGACAAAGCCTTTTTCCTGTAATGCACTGTTCATACCTTCATTAAAATTTGTTGTCTTGAAAAACCAAAAAAAATTGTTGCCGTAGGAATATAGATTATTACGTTAACCAGGAGTTTATCAGGATTCATGTTTTGTCTTTTGATTGTGACTTGTAGTTTTTCATTTATGTTTAGGAAAGC